GTTTTGTTGCCGCTGCTGACGCGACACGTGTACAGGCCGCGGTCGGAGCGCCGCAGCTTGGGGATGGTCAGGATGTTGTAGAACAACATGTGCGTTCTGTGCTTGAGCAGACGCTTGGACGTGGAGCCGCTGTTGCTCGTCTGCAAAACAGGGAAACGACGTTCGGAATGCCGGCAAGAAATGCACCAAAGGAGCACGACGAGCCCTGGACTTCAACCAAAATGGCAAGTGTCCTAAAGAACTTTTTAGTGTGTCCTGTTTCGAGAGACTTTGTGGCGAATAGTTTAACTGGCGTCGAGGTGCTACATTTTTCCCGAAAACTTTTACTCGTCCTGGAATTGACCCAAATAAGCTGTTTCAAAGCAAAATGGCTGGCTTCCTATTCAATTTTAGGCGAGGGTTCATGAAACTTTTTTGTGGGTCTTGTTCTGGTAGATGACTCCACCAGATTTCATGTCACCTAACCTCCTAACCTAAACCCCAACCTAACCTTACCCCAAACCCCAATGCTAATCCAAAATGGCTGACCTCCTGTTCAATTTCAGGCAAGGGTTCTCAAAACTTTTTTGTGGGTCTTGTTATGGTAGATGAGTCCACCAGATTTCATGTCACCTCACCTCCTAACCCAAACCAACCTTACCCCAAACCCCAACGCTAACCCAAAATGACTGACTGACTGTTCAATTTCAGATCAGGCTTTTTGAAATTTTGTTGTGCATTTTGTTATGATAGATAACCAGATTTCATGTCACTTCATCCTAACCTCCTAAACCAAACCCCAACCTTAAACCCTAACCCCAACGCTAACCCAAAATGTCTGACTTCATGTTCAATTTCAGGCAAGGGTTCTTGAAACTTTTTTGTGGGTCTTGTTACGATAGATAAGTCCACCAGATTTCATGTCACCTCACCTCCTAACCCAAACCCCAACCCCAACCTCACCCCTAACCCCAACGCTAACACAAAATGGCCGACTTTCTGTTTAATTTCAGCCATCGTGAGACTTTTTCATGCATCTTGTCATACTAAACATGTCCACCCAGTTTTGGGTTAACAGGTTCCAGAGTGATTTTTTTTCTCTTTCTCTAATTTACTACTTGTCCCGAAATGTTCTCCAAACTATTCAGTATTGTGAATTAATGACGACGGCGTGGCTGAAATACCTTTCCAGGGTAGTCCCATGAGATGTTGACCCTGGTGTTCAGTTCTCCGGTGGCGGTGCAGTTGAGCACCAGCCTCTCCCCCTTTAAGGCCTGCACGGGACCGCTGCTGTTCAGATACACGTCCAAGATGTTACTTACTAAGACGACACACAGGAAGAAGGAGAAAGGTGACTTGTCGGAAGAAACGCAAAAGGCGTCTTGGTGCTTTATGGTGGAGTCAGCGGACCTGGCCGGTGGACGATGTAGATGCGCGACTTGTGCGCCACGCCGTCGACGAGGGTCTGGCAGAAGAAGAGGCCGATGTAGAAGAAGGTGGGAGTCCGGATGGTGAAGCCCCGCCTGGTGCTCCACACGATGTTCCTCTGGTCGGGACTCAAGCTGTGGTTGGGGAACTGCCGGGAAATAAACACATGAATAAATAAATTGCACATTAGAAAGAAAAAAAAAAAAATCGCAAAATTTTAAACCCAGAGGAAGGAGAATCTTTCGATTTTAGATTTTCGCTTGGCAACTGAAGATCATTTTCCCCAATTGGCTCTCTTCGGTCTTCTGATTGGCCAAAATGTCATTTGGCAGTCTTGGGCATGTGTTTCTCAGCCCTTCCAATCCATTTTTGAAGTGGACACAAAATGACCTGCGGTATTTTTGGACTCCAATTTCCGGTCACGCAATAATTCCTGAGAGGAAAACCTCCATCCAGATGCTGATGAATCCTGGCGGGCTCTGGATTCTGCGTTCTTGTCATGTTGCCTAAATCCTTGCGTAACCCCTTGTTGTGTTCTTTGAGGCCACGGCAAGGAAATGTTTACCCGTCGCGGCGAAAAAAGCCTCCCACCCTCTCTCGGGGGAGCAGGTAAGAGCGAGGTGACCCTTTTCCAAAGCTTTTGTTCGCCCTCTTTGCCCCTCTTACCTAACGCGGCTGGCCAAGGTGGGTAAGAGAACGCGGGAGGGCGGCCGAGACATCCGAGGAGTCAGGATATGGGAAACGTGACTACGGGTCCATCTCCTCGCATCCTGTTACTACAGGATATGAGGATGGTTCGGACTAGGGGGTGGTGGAAGGGTGGGAGGGGAGGGGGCGCGTCACTTTCACAGCCTTAGCGCGAAGCGGGTGGGGTGGGCCTCGAGGGTATTGTTGTATTGAGCGAAGTTTAAAAAAAAAAAAAGGCCTTCCAGGAAAAAAACACTCCAGAGGCCTCTGACAGTCAGTGGATGAAGGGAAGGATGGGAACTATTTTTAGACGGTTCTCTTTGTGGCTACAAGTGTTTGAGAGTAGGACAAACACAGTTCATACTGGACGACTTAAAGTCTTATTTGCTGCCTTTTTTTTTTTTTTTTTTAACGAGAACGACTTTTTTCGGTATTTCTGATTGGCAAATGGCAGTTAGGGGTGATTTAACGCCTTCCGTTAACCTGGCAAACAAATGACATTTGATAATTGATACATGAATACAAAATAAAATACTTCCCCCCCCCCCCTCCACCCCCACCACAAAACCTCCGGATGTTGAAATCATGTCGGGTTCGAGGAATCTATTTTAAGAACGATTCCCCGAGCGCTTACGAGCAGTCGTGGATTTGTCTTTTAGCTCGCATGAGTCAAATACAATTCCCGTATTATAAGCGGAATTACTTTATTTATAATTCTCCCCACTTGCTAAGCAATATTTTTTTTTTTTTGGGTTGATGGACTCTTCCTCTTTCGATTCTTCATCATGACTTGAATAGTGGTAGTTTGCTACGGGTGACTTATCAAAAGGAAAATGAACAATTGCTTTCGTAATGAGTGAGGCAACCGGCTATTTCGGTACTTTACTCACGCAACACATTTCACTCTGGGATTTTTTTTTTTTTGCGGGATTCATTTATCATAAAGCCGAGCTTTCTCCGCATTCTGCTTGTTTGACAAATTCTCCCCGATTTAGTCATCCAACAATGGGCAAGCCAGCCAGCGTATTAGGTGGCCCGCTCTAAGACAATGGCGCAAGTGCTGGTGGCCCAACCGCAAGCGACTTGGGCTTCCTCCTGCCAGCTGTTTTAAGCATCATGGCCAAAAAGTTGGCGGCCGGGATCGCGACGAGGAGTGAGGCTGTGGGAAGTGATGCTGGCCGGGGGCCAACGGGGCACTCTGGACCTAACGTCCTGTCTCCAGCCAGCTTCAAAACAAAACCAAAAAAAAAAAAAAAAAAAAAAAAAACGATCGGAAAATGCTTGTTAAGAAACAGAAAAAAGAAAAAGCATGTATCCATTTATGCAAAAAATATATATCTAACAGCTCGTTTTTAAAGAACTCTTCGAAATGGCCCAAATCCCCCCAAAATGGCTGCCTCAAGCAAAATGGCAGACTTTCTCGGTCTTATCAAGCGTAACTTCTTGAAACTTTACACTTACTTTGACCAAGGTGCTGGTGACATTTGGGTGAGTGACCCTGCAGGGGATGACCAGCGGCTGCTTCTCCTTCATGTACAAAACATCGGGGCTCATCTCTGGATGGTCCACAAATGGCTGCTGACTGTCTGAAAGCCAAATACTGGCGATCAGGGACCCGGATGGCACACAGCAGAAAGCACATGCACATTTACGTGTCTATGCATTGAGCAAAGGTGTTCCACAGAGTTCTATGCCAGGCCCACTTTCTGTTCAGTCGTTTAACTAAAGGGGTGCGAAGATGTGCAAACGGAAGGATCCGGTTGTTGTACGTAGTATGTTAGGCTGTATCCTATGACATTTTTTTTTGATAATGGGGGTGATGGGAGGGTGGGTGATGGGCATTGTGGATGCCCAAACCTCGGCCCTCCTGCTTTCTCATTCCCCCCACCTTTGCACGCCCTTGCCACAGTTAGAACATTCGAGACACACTGACACAGACGTGTTATGGATGCTAACCGTTAGGTTGTCAATGACGCTTTTCCATTAAGACAGCAGGGGCGTTCCAAACTCATTAGCGCATTTATTTGTACTCTGTTGGTGGTTGCTTCCACTATTGTGTAGTCTTGCGGTGCTCTGTTGTCACTGAACGCACTAACCCCCCTGAGCCCCTCCCTCCCCACCGATGGCTGATGGCCACTCGCCGTACACAATAAACACGCAGACTGTTAGTAGGCAATTATTGCGCCGCATTGTTTGTGTGTTCGGGGCTGTTATTCAAGGAAAGCTAATCTCTGAACGCCCCCCGAAACAAAAGTACCCCAAGGACCGGCCCCACTGAGCTCGGCTTCCTACTGCCGCCGCTTTGATTCGGGGGCTTGATAGACGCGGAGGCCTGAGTAATGGACGACGCTTCCCCCCGCCTCCCCCCTTCCACCCCTCTTCACCCTCAGGCGTCCGTCGCCTCCGCGAGGGCAGAGATGCTCTGCAGGGGCGAGGGAGGGGCCGATCATCGCAGACTTTCTGCCTCCTCTTTGCTTTGGCGGCAGCCTTCATCTTATCCTCTCACACGGGCGCACACACATGCGTGGACACTCACGCGCACACGCACACACACAAATGGACGCATACCTTGTCCAAGAGCCAGTGTCCACCCCCCCACCGCCCACCCTTCACAACCCTTGGCCTCCTCCGTTCAAGCACAGGATGCTGGAGCGGGGCAGATAAGGCCGATGCCCTGCATGGGAAACTCTGCCCAGTCTTGAGCCTTTCAACAGCTGGCGCATTACACTCCAAAAAAGAATTATATTTATATACAAATAGGAATAGAAATATATCGAGAGTAGCGCAAGGTGCTGAACCTGCACTTCAAATGTTTAGAGATCACCGGCACGACTGTTTTTAGCACGTCCTGTTTAGAAACGTCCTGCTGTTGCGGCGCGGGTCAGACGGAGCCGTTTTAAAAGTAGCTTCTCCCAGTGATATGCGTCATTTTGAAAGAAGCGGAATACAATCTGGAGTGGTCGTTAGCCAATTGCAGTTTGCTTGTGTGTGATTGGCAGAAGCGTGATAAGTTTGAATTCAGCAATCAGCGAACCAACACCAACAAACTCCTTTCAGTTCAAGTCACTGGCAGAGTGCTTTTTTTGTTTGTTTTATAATGCAGACTTTCGAGCTACCTAATTACAGTATTCTTGTATAATCGTGGAAAATAAAGAAATAAATTTATAAAGTTTCCAAGTATTCAAAAATATCTCTGATTTAAAAAGTAGGCACACACACACACACACACACACACACACACACACACACACA